TGAGGAAAAGTTGATTTTTGTAAAGTTTTCTGTTTCCTTCCGTCGAGTTTTTTCCACTAAGTAAAGATCAACATTAAATAATGCTTTAAGAGAGCAAAAAAAGCAACATCTAATGGTTGCAGGAGATGAGAGATTTTAGGTGGAAGACATATGAATATGATATCATATTCTTCACAGACATGTAGCACATTTTCTGAAAAATGTGAAGATAAGTTGTCACCAATTACAATTTTATTTCCTTCTTTGTATTGTATATATGGAATAATTACTTAAAAAAACCAATCTTCAAAGCAAAAAGTATCAAACCGTCCACTTTTACTTCGGTTATAAACAGTTTTAACAGGTCCACCTTCCATCCAAGTATCCCACAAATGTTCTGATTTATAAACAACATAAATGGGTAAAATAGTACCAGCAGCAGTTCCGACATTAATCTTGTTAAAGTTTTAGAACTGTTTAAAATTCTTTCTGGGTACTTAGTACCTTATTTCAATATATATTTTTTGGCTCCAGGATCATCACTCAAATTTGTCTCGTCATAGTTGATGATGCAGTCAGGTGAAACATTTGTCATATTTTTTTTAAGATTATCGAAGAAATTATCAATTATATTAGATGAAGTTTTTGCTCTATCTGTTGCAATATTTGTTGTAAATCGATTTAATAAAGCATGTCTGTTACGTTTTAAAAAACTTGTCGCCCACTCTTTTCCTGGAAAGTTATCTTTAAGGAAATAAATTTTATTTCAAGTATTATTCAAATATCGTTGAGCCATAATTCTATAATCTAATAAATCAAAGGGAAATCCCCACTCACTGGTAATTTTTAGGTTGTAAACAAAACTTTTTTCCTCCTCATCACTAAACATCTTTGGTCGATCTGCAGTTTTATGATCATTTTTCATTTTATACTTTCTACTCAGAGTGGAAATTAGAATTTTATATTTCTTTGAAGCCTCAGAAAGAGCAAAGAGTGTTTTGCTTTGCACTAAATAAACAGTCTTTTCAAGATCCTCTTTATTAAAACTGTTGTATGCTTTTTTTAAAGAAAAATGTGAAAAAATTCCTTTTTTTTAGCCGAAATGTGCATCAGTAAGTTTGCGAATGAGCTGAGAAATGCATCAGTAAGTTTGCGAAAAACAAAATTTGCCAAATTCTTGAACTATTACAAATTTGCTTTATTTGTTTAAAAGTTTATATCTTCAGACAGTATTTTTATCCTTTTTTAGAATCTGGTTTTAAAAAAATATTATAATTGAACTTTTTGAATAGTATTTATTTTAGTAAAATGACTTTTATGGGGCATATCGGGACAGCTAGTTATTTATATAATTGACTATATTACTACCGTTTCATAATGCTGTTTACAGTTTGATGATTTTATTTTTAATATTCTTTGTTTTATGCTTAAATGTAAAATTAATTCATCCCCGATTTCTTTCCATAATTTATATTCATCACAAAATAAAAATAAATACATTTTACGCAATGATAATTTTAATAAGCAGCCCATTTATCAAATAAATCTTTTTAAATTTTGTATTGATTATTGCGGATCATTCTTATGGAATTAAGTAGTTTTTAAAAATTTTACTGAGGATTTTATTTCTCAATGTAACTACTTTTCTTTTAAACAAAAGCTTAAAAAACTTATTTTTACAATCGAAGATTTAATAATGTACTTCTGATATTTTTTTTTGCGATCTTCCTTTTTATTTTCTATTTAAACATGAATTTATAAAAATTATATATGTATCATTAACAACTGTAATCTACATATATAATAGATATAACACATCATGTTTTTATAACGTTTTAAGTTACTTACTTCGTCAACTTTTTTATCTTGTAAATATCTCATAAATTTTAACACAAACATTTCGTAGCGGTACTCGACGACAAGACCGTATGCTCTTCTACGAGTCCCCGCGTTCTTTTTTTTATTAATAACGACTATTATATAATTGGTATCTCCAGTTTCCAATACAAAAAACAAATGAACTTTGGTTTGAAAGTAACTGAAAAGCCATTGGTTTTACTTAATCTTTGAAAAAGATCACCCACCATTACATTTGATTACACACTGGCTCCCATATATCAGTGAATTTTTTTCTTCAAAAGTACTTTGAAATTCTGGTTCTTTTGAGACGCAGGTTATACTTTTGAAGAAATCAAAAATATTTTTTTCCTTGTTTAGAAAAGCAATTTAGTAATAAATTCAAGTTGTTATTTTTAAAACTTAACTTCAATTATAATTAGTGTTTAATGTATAGATTAAACACTAATAATAATCGAATACAGGGTCCTCAATATTTAGAAAAAAATGTTTTTCAAAACTTCGTCAACCTGTTACTCAAAAGAAGCGAAATTATGTAAAAATCTCGAAAAACATATTTCTTTTATAAAGAGTAAAATAAAAGGATATATTGATAAAAAGTCTAAAAATATTTTTTACATAACATTTTTTTTCATTTTGTAGAATACATTTAGAGGTATTGAATTGCAATGCCTTAATACCATGTTTTGATATTCACAAACGTTAGATCAAGAATGACTTAAATAGACATATGAAGTTTATATTCAATTTACATACTTGGTGTAGTTAAGGTGTTTTTAAATGATATAGCGTCTGCATGATATTTTGCTGACTACGACATAAAGGTATCATCAAGAAAATATTAACTTACTCAAGTGTATACGACTATTACTAATAGTGGAGCATGGACACTAAGAGAGCAAGCCAAAAAAACAATCTATACATTCAAAATCCTGGTGAAATCCCAAATTAACTTGAAGTACAAAAATTCTTGAAAGAGATTTGTGAAAGATTCAACCTCTTTAATATTTAATTGCTACCTCTCATTGCGATATTATAGTGACAACAAAGAACGAATAGTAACTTTTGGAAATGAAGACAACATGCCTAGTTGTACCTGAGTGGATTGGAAAAACTCTTGTTATCCTTGCAAGGATTTCTTTGTCATTTTCAAAAATTATCTTTGTTAGAGTTGGGAATCAATATCTCTTTTATACCGAATGCCTCCATATCTAAATATTGATATAAATTTTGATCTTGTTAACGCAAAAGTTAAAGGATGTAATGATAAACTCAGTACATCTACATACTCTAGGGTAACGATTAAAGAAACAAATAAAGTGAGTGAAGCATTGGTAAAGACTCAAAATAAATAACTTTGAAATCAGAAGGAAAAAAATAATGTAGAAACTGAAGTTATAAATAATAATTTGATAGACTACCAAAACATATTGGAGTTTGCAGATAAAACATAGTCATTTTCAGTCATGAGGAAAATGATACAGATGAAAAAAACTGTATAAGTAAAATAAATCTCAGTGAGAGTGACTTTTCAGATATATTAAACAAGGACATAATCTTGCTTTTAGTACGCATATAAATAAACCATGCAAACTTGAACATACAAGTTTGCATGATGGTTGTAATCATTGAGTAGTAATTTCAACATATGGTTGTACACTTGGTGAGGTTTTTTTGATGGACAGTCTGTTTTATGGTAAAGTTGCAAATCATACAACAGAACAGATATGTTCCATCGTGAAATTCACTTATGAGAAGTGAAATGTTTGTGTATTACCAGTGTTACAACAGTCAAAAGGTAAAGATTATGGTGTCTTTTCAACGGCTTTATTCAACATATTTTAGTACTTACAATTTATCATAACGAAATGAATAAATTTATTTTTGAGTATTCTTATTAATTAAAATTGAATATTTTAAAGTTTAATTTTAATTAAATTTTTCTGGGTTATTCTAAATTTTAATTTTTACTATTATACTAATTTGTTTTAGTTTGCCTTATGTTGAAATATGGTTTTAATTTAGTAAATTTTCATGATTTGAAATTTTCTTTATTGATCATTAGCCAACAGTTTAGAAAAAGAAATCAATCTCAACACTATGCGGTAAGAACAACTTAGTCTACTTGTTTCCATTAGAAAACTAATTAATGCTTTTTGTTAATTTTTATATTAAAATTATATATATATATATATATATATATATATATATATATATATATATATATATATATATATATATATATATATATATATATATATATATATATATATATATATATATATATATATATATATATATATGTATATATATATATATATATGTATATATATATATATATATATATATATATATATATATATATATATATATATATATATATATATATATATATATATATATATATATATATATTTAAATGTTGATAGGTATAGTATTTTGTTGAAAATACAGCTTAAGAGTGATCAATATTTCTTTGTAAAATCGATTGAATTATATTTATATAATTAAATGAAAAATATACAACTTTTTATGGAACTTTTTGATTCGGCAATCATTCAGCCATATTATTCAAAATTAAATTTTCGATCTTTTGTTGTAAACTAAACTAGATCAAAACGAATCAATGTCATTCAAAAATAAAATAAAACATTTTTTCTGTGATTATTTTGGGAGCTCCAAGAAGACCTAATTGTCTCAACACAGAGCACCGCAGAGGAGCATTTAACTTGGAAGTTTATGCTTCCTTTATGTTTAAAAAGTACCTAGAGTAAGCATCGAACCACAGATCAGTGAAGGATCCAGTATTTTTGGTGTTTGAAATAGCTAACAAACATATGTTTATACTTATATCAAATAATGATGCTTTGCAAAATATTGCGATGATTGGAGGCTGGAAACTAAAAAAGCCCTAAAGTTTCATTTCCCTGCCCCAAATGTGAGAGCAACAAGTTATTAAAACAATTTTTTTGAAATTCTTAACTTTGTTTATATTCATTGATAAAATTAAAGTTTAATGGAAATATCTCTCAGAGTTCATAAATTATAACTATATAAAGTTTAAACCCTCATTTTGAGGGGTTTTCACATAGTCATAATTCACGGTGATTCAGTACTTATGCAAGCTTGAGATTTTATTATACGCATGCGTCTGATAAAAATATTCAATATTAAAATTTGTATTTATCGTGTTAAAAACAAATAAATACCTTACAACATTGTTTCCATTTTAAATCCAATTTTTATGAGGTTTTTAATAATTAGACAAATGTAATAGTATTTTATATACTTGAGCTGTTTTGTGCAAAAAATCTGAGTGAAATTTATGTTTGAACATTTACTACAATAGTTAAAACAGAAAAGAGTAATATTGTTTAAAATAACACTTTATATACATTTCAATTATGGACGAAGCAAAATTTTTATGACATGTGGATTAGTTTTTAATAAAAGTATTATTCATTGATATTCAAAAAATATTGACTTCTATAACCTGTCATTTTTTTATAATATGTTATTTCATTATTTAGCTAAAAACTTTTCAAAAATTTTATTTAGAAGATGACTGAAAAACATCAACAAAAGTTATTAAGAGTTTGCAGAATTTGTGGAAATTTAACAGGAAAAGACTCTCTAACAACTGCCAGTAGGACTGAAAGAATATTTAATGTTTTTAAAATAAATACTAAAGAAGATTGTGTAGAGGTTCATCCACCACAAATGTGCCTAAAATGTTATTCAACTATGAAGAATATTGAAACACAAGGAAATAAACTATCTAAGATTAAACCAAAAATTTGGTTAAAATGTCCAACAAAGGAGTGTATGTGTATTTATGGTAAGGTTGGTCGAAAACCATCTCCAAATGTTGGACGGCCAGGAGTTTTTAAAAGATGGACACAACTAAATATAAACTTGTTTCTTGAATCCTTGCCCTTACCTTTAAACAAAAAAGAAATTTCTGAATTCAATATTCAGCTAAACCCACATATAACATTATGTATTTGTAAAGTTTGTGGGAGGATAATGCATCAACCAGTCATGATCAAAGATTGTCAGCACTCGTTTTGTAGTCAATGTATTATATCAATTATTAAAGGTAAGCTAGAAAATGAAGCAAGATGTCCTGTTTGTTTAACCTGCATTATGGTTAATAGCCTTTGTAGTTCTGTTCATGTATTGGAGATGATTGAACATTTGTATATTGCATGCAAGATTTGCGAAAAAAACTTTATTAAAGACAAGTATGAAAATCATGAGTGCAAAAAAGATCATTTATTAAATAATTCCAGCACAATAGTTGATGATTTATTTAAAGTTGATAAGTCAAGTCATATTCCACGTAATATTGAAGATGCAGTGTTGCATGTAATTAAACAAAAAATGGAGAATTCAAAAACAACTACAATTGAATTTTTATCTGGTGGCCCAAGAGTAAGAGTAATAATATTTGTAAAGTACAAAAAAACTTAAACTATAAAATTTCTTGTCTGGAATTTTGAATATTCATAATGATAAAGATTGCTGATATTAGGTTTATGTATTGATATATATTTTTATTTTAAAGCCCCTTTGCTTAACTGTTATGCCCAAAGCCTACAAGGAAAGTGCATCTTGCAGTGGTCATACCTTGAGAAAAAGACACAAACACCTAGTGGACCAAGCTAATCATCAAGTTGGAAATTCAAAAGATTCACTAGTAGTGCAAACATCAGTTATGCTTAAATCATTTGATCACAATCAAAAAAATAAAGTTTTAGAAAGTGCTAAGATTGGAGTTGTTGAGTTTTCTGCTGAAGAATTGGTTGCTTTTAAAGCAAATGTAGGGGTACCGTGGAATAAATTAAAAACTATGACTAGGTAAAATTATTTTTTTAAATATTTATTGGTTAGTTTATTTATTAGTGTTAATTATTTAGAGATTGATGTTAATTGATTTATTATTTAAGTGAATGTAGGTGTATATTTAAAAATGCATGCTTTTATTAATTTACATAATAATGCATATATAAGTAAGCAGTATGAAAAATAATTTAGTGAAAAAAATGAATAAGTGTTATTTACTAAATATTGTAGATGGTTAAACTCAAGAAATATTAAGACTGCTTCAAACTTTAAACAAAGAGTAGTTGCAAATACCTGGGCAGGAAATGATCTTGTTGTATTAAATGGAGATTTTACATTTCAAAATGAAAATAATAAGTCAGTTTTTGAAATCAAACATGCTCCCTGGGCATACATAGACAATCTACCCACTAATATTAAAAACCTGTTAGATATTCTTGAAAGGTATGGATATTTGTACAAATTTGTTACTTAAAAATCTAAATATAAACTATTGTAAAAAACTATTTAAGCTGTATTTTTTTATGTTATATTTTTATTTTATTTAAATTTATTAGTTTTAAGTTAATAAAACATGATGGAATAAAAAATGATGAAATACACATAAAAATTGGAGGAGACCATGGAGGTGGTTCATTTAAAATGAGTTACCAAATTGTAAACCAAGACCAACCAAACTCAAAATCAAATAGTATTGTATTCAGTACATTTGAAGCAAGAGACTACCGAACTAATCTTAAAGTAGGGTTATCTCGATATACATTACAAGTTGATGAGATACAAAAAATGATATGGCAGTAAGTTACTATTTCTAAAGAAATAAGCATTGATAATTTAAATAAAATTCAAATATTTTGTGTTAATTTAATATATTTTAATTGTTTTTAGAAATCATAATGTTCGTGTTTTTATATTTGGAGATTATGATTTCCTTTGCAGTGTATATGGAATCACAGGAGCGAGTGGTAGGTTTGCTGTACTTAAAGAAATTTTATGTTATTTGATGATAATTTTTTTTTAGTTATCATAAGTAAAAACTTTTGTAAGATTGAAAAATTAAAGTTTTAAAGATATAATTGTTTAACTCCATTCAATACTGTTACTTATGGTATTATAGGTCGACATTGCTGTCTTTTTTGTGATATAACCAAAGAAAGTATCCAGTTGGCTCCAATTAGTAGAGAGAATGGTGTTTCACAACGATCTCTAAAATCTTTAAACATTGATTTTAATCGATTCCAAAGTAGTGGAGGAAATTTGAAAAAGGCTAAGTTTTTCAATAATGTGATTAATGAAACTTTGTTTCACATTCCTCTAGACCAGGTAATTTATTTTTAGCACTGTATTTTAGTTTTATTTTGAGGATTTGTATGGCTTTAAGTGTTTTTAATAGTGTTTAATTTTATTTTTAGGTAGCAGTACCTGCTTTACATATATCTTTAGAAACCTATTTGAAGTTTTTAACATGTTTGAAGATGAATGTCACTTGTTAGATATCAAACTTGCTGGAGAGCTTGCACTAAAAAATAATACAATTGGTAAAGATGATTTTGACAAATACATTAATATGCATATTCAATCAAATCTTATAAAAAGTGTTATTGAGGACTGTGATAATAAAATTACACTTTTACAAGACACAATTTCATTAAAAGTTTTATGTGAACCAGACAGAACAGAAGAAATAAGGAAAGTATATGCACCAAGAATACTTTACTATGATTTAAAAAAAACTGATAAGGTATTTATTATTTACAAAAAAAATATGAATTTAATTTAGACTTTAGTTAGAATTATATTTAACATAATTTTAGAAAGCCAAAAATATATCAATTTCAAAAATTTACAATACAATTACCTACAGTTTCTGTAGCATATATTTAACAAGAAAAATATTTTTCTAGATGAAAGAACTAAATTCATTAAATGAAGCAAACATTCTTGATAAAATTTCAGGTCCCTGCATTCAGCAACTTGATGAAATTTTAAAGGCTAATCAGGTACAAAGACAGGCTTATCATGGGAAATGCTTTGTTGGAAACCATGTTCACACAATGCTTAAGGTTTTTTTACAGATGTTTTATATTAAATATCCTAACCTGGTGGGTTGGTTATATCGATCAGATAAAATCTTTTTTTTTTTTTAATTTTTTGTTCAGACTGCTTTGAACACATCGGCCACCCCTGCGTTTTGTTAATAAAAATATTTCAAAATTATTTAATTTTACTTATATTTAATTTAGCCTCAACCTTTGCTAGATTTGTGCAACTCTATTCCAAAACTGATTTCAAATCTTGGTTTTATTGATACAGACGTTCATTTACTCTCAGTTAATGTGAGCCAAAAATTTAAACAGTTGTTTCAATATTATTCCAAATGTCATAACTTGATGAACAGCTCACAATCATTTCAAGAAAATGATGTTCAGGAACTTGGTAGGTATTTAAAATCGTTTTACGCAAACTGTAGTTGAAGTTAGCATATTCTTTAATGCCATAATAGTTATTTTGAAAAACATTAATTGGTTGCTTTTTTTAGTTAGAATTTGAGGAATTTATTTAAAGAAATTCAATTAGGCTTTTTTTTTAAACATGTAAACTATTTAATTTTAGAATCAGCAATCTGTAATCTTATGGAATTTTATAGATCAACTTGGCCAAATGCATCTGTAACTCCAAAGATGCATTTGCTTGAAACACATGTTCTTCAATTTATTCAAAAATGGGGATTAGGCATTGGAGTTTATGGAGAACAAGGCGGAGAAAGTTTGCATGCTGAATTTAACAATCTTAATCGTTTGTTTTGTCATATGAAAGGTTGTAGCCGCTTGAAAAGCATGGTGAAAGAACATTATGTAAGAAACCATCCAAAAGCTAAAGCAATGAAGCCAGAAATTAAAAAGAAAAATTTTTTTTGATTTTTATGTGTGTATATAATATATATATATATACACATACATATACACACATTCAACTTTGTTCTGAGTATCAGAGTGTTCTGGTAAACACATTATAATATTCTTGATTTAAAACGTGCACGCATTGTAAGTTTAAGGTTAACTTGAACTTTATGTAAGGCTTTCAGAGTAGAAAATTCTTCCATTAAAAAGCTAAAAAAACTACGCAAAAAATGTTACCAGCCTGCCGTTAAATGCAGTTAACTTTTTTTTTAAAAATGACAGGTTAAAACGAAAGGCATAGAATTTTTAGGCATGATTTATAGAATTTAAAACAATTGAACTTTTTAGCCAAAAATTTTCAAACAAAAGGTATCCCTCTAGTTAGCTAACAGATATTTTATTTTTTTTATCTTTGTTTACAAAGATTCTTATTTATAAAATTTTAAAATTTTCTTTGTTTACAAAGATTCTTATTTATTTTTATGATTTACTTAAAACCTTCTAGAATGTAAGACTTTAAAAATATATAGTTCAGGTTTTTACACGAGGAATAAGTAATTGTTTAATAAAATACTAAATCAACGAATTTTAGTTATTTAGATAAAAACTACTTCGCCATTTTTTTCCGTAATTAAAAAAAAAAAACAAATGTGCGCATGCTCACAATAAAATATCAGGCTTAAATCACCGTGAATTTTTGGTAACGCTTAGAAATTGTAAAACAATACTTAAAACTTATCGATGAATATAAATTTAGTTAAAAATAGCAAAAAAAATTATTTTATCAACTTGTTACTTTCACGTTTGGGGCAAAGGGATTATATTTTGAGGTTTTTTTGTTCCCAGCCTCCAATTATTGCAACTTTTTAAAAAGCACAATTATTTGACATAAGTATAAACATACAAATATTTTAAGTAATATCTCAAACACGAACTAAAAGCTAAATCTGTCACTGCCATAGATCTCTTGTTTCTGAAGCAAGTTTGCTTCACAATTCAGCGTTTAAACGCTGCAAATGTGCAATAAATGTTCTTATACATACAAATTTTTTTTCTTTAGACAAATATGTCAAGAAAATATGTAAAAAAAAAAAAAATTTTAAATGTACTTTTAAGGTTAAGAGTTTAGAATTAGATATTGGATCAAAATTCAATTTATCAGAACCATTCAAAAACTAGAAAGCAAGGAAGCAGTCGTTGTAGCTAGCTCCTTGAATCCACTCTTCTTCTTTTTTTAATGTTTTTTTTTTACAAGAACTCTTTATTTGAAGTAACTTCTGAAGTTTTCCAAGCTCATCACACTGTCTACATTATCTTTTATAAATTTTACTGCAAGCACAGCAAAATTGAACTTTTTATTACAAAATATTTTTTTTAAAACATGAAATTCGTTTATTGTTTAAACAAATAAATATCCTACTCTGTATTTTATTTTAAAAATAAATTTTTTTACTATGCTTAATAGATTTACAATTTTGCTGTGAATTCTGATATGTTGTTAGCAACTTTGAAAGATTTTTAAAGTTTTGGAATTCATTGTACCCAAAAAGTCTGAGGAAGTCTCATCCGTAGGCATTTTTCAAACTATAACTCAAGATCTAGTGGCTAGTCTTTATCAAAAAAAACTGCTTTCAAATGGATTTCAGCTTTGATTCTATCCGTTTTTACATCTTTTCGGACCTCCCTTTGTTTTTTAATACAGAACTTTTTACCATTTTTATATTGTGATCTCGGTTAAAAGATGCTAACGCCAGCACCAAACACCTCTATGGTTTTACAATGATTTAAATTTCACCTCTGCAGCAGACTGATGGTTTTACAATGATTTGAATTTCACCTCTGACAAGACTATCTGCCAGGAGTCTTGTTTATCTTAAAAGTGTAATTTAAAAACAATACAATGTCGATAAAATAAGGTTTAAAATAGGGCCTTGCGAATCACCTTTTTTAGTTTCGAATCAAATCACAATTTGAAGCAGGCCTTGATTTGCGAATCGAATTGAACCAAAAGTCCAATCAGCATTTTGAGGAAATCTAAGTTTAACTAAAACATTGATATCCTCAAAATGCTGATTTGATTCAAGATTCGATTTGATTTGCGAATTAATGTCTGTTTAAACTTGTGATTTGATTTGATACAAAAAAAAGTGGTTTGCAGGACCCTAGAATTACATTGCTAAATACTTTTTACATTTATTTTTGACGAGATAAAATCAAAAAGCTATTTCTATTAATTTCATTTTTCTTTTATTTATTTTCTTTGTATTTTACATCTGATTTTAAACAATTGTTTTTAAACAATTTGTTACTTTATGACATAAATTATTCTTAAGTAATAAAACTAAAATATCAAAACTTATGAAATGAAGTTTTATTTTAAAAATTGCAGAATCAAAAAAAGTTGCAGGTCCAAAACCACGATTCCCTAGAGAGAGAAATTTAGTCAGCCACTCTATTGATCTCCTTAAGTATTTTATTACTCGGAATAAAAACCTGCCTTATTTTTGAGAAATGCAAACGGATTTCATGAAATTCAAGGCGTGTGAAACAGCTCCATTTTTTTAAATTTTCACCTAATGGTCTGATTTGTTCCGCAAGTTTACAATAATCTCTGCTCTTCTCAGAAGTCTATATGTAAACAATTTTAAAATTAGAAACTTATTCATTTTGTTTTTGCAAAAAGATATTTTGAAGTGAAGCTGTTTTATCTTTACTATACTATTTTTTAACCTTTTATGGTTTTATGACATAAATAGTTTATTCCCTAGTTTAACAGTTCAATTTACGGCTATGGCTATATGAAGCTCTCCGATATAATGACAGGAAGTTAACAAGAATATTTGTCGGCCAGGAAACTTAGCTAAATTTGTACAAACTCCTCTTCAACAGCCAGGGCTTGAAGAGAGTGAACTGCATGAGATAAAAAGCATCTAACAAATTTCTTATTACTGTGTATTGGGCCTCAACGCTATCGTTTTTAAAAACCACCTTTTTTTTATTTCATAACGAATTAGTGCGTTTTTAAAATACCACTAGTTAATATAATATATTTTATACAATAATAATATATTTAAAATACACACTAGTTAACAAAAATAATGTTAATAAAAATGCACACACTAGGTATAGATGAAAATCTTCCATTACTTATAGATAAATTGTAATTATATATATATATATATATATATATATATATATATATATATATATATATATATATATATATATATATATATATATATATATATATATATATATATATATATGTATATATATATATATATATGTTTTATATATATATATATATATATATATATATATATATATATATATATATATATATATATATGTTTTATATATATATATATATATGTTTTATATATATATATATATATATATATATATATATATATATATATATATATATATATATATATATATATACACATTAAAAAGTTATGTTCAGAAAACGTCAGGAAAAACTCTAAAAACATAAAATTTGAAGTTAATTTAAGTCGTAATTAGCTTTTAAATCGTTATTTTTTTATAAAATAAGCTTTTTAAAACCACATTATTTCAAAACGGGGCAAGTTGGAGCAGCTAACCTTTTGAGTTTCTAACAGAATGGTACAAACTCTCTTTAAAAAAAGAATTGGCTTTGCGAAGGTACGAAGGAACAAAAAAAAAAAAAAAAGTCTTACAATTAAAAAGATAAATATGTGATTATTATAAAAAGTATTTAAATATATCGAGTGTTCTGAAGTTTTAGACAATTGAAAATTCGATAGAAGGTCTTCGCAAATGGCGGTCGCGTTTTTTTAACCGTTAAAAAAGCTCAAGTGAAGGTAAAGAATAAAGTTAAACTCAAATTAAAAGATAAATATTGTTTTTAAAAAAGTCACCTTTAAATCATAATCACCAATCTTAATCAAGTCAATAATCTTATAAATTAATTTAAAACAAAACAAATCAAAAATTTACTAAAAGGTAAACAGAATTTCGAACTAAAAAAAAAAAAGAAAAAAAAGAAAAGAACTCTTCCGTAAAACAAAAAACAAAAAAAAAAAAAAAAAAAAAAAAACGAGAGAGAAAGAAAAAGTTAA